CTTTCCCTGAAAATGAAACAAGACTTAGCTGTACACACATTTTACACACTTAAGTAAACCTTCAAATACTAGCAAAATGGAAATTGTAGCAGAGTGTGATAAACTTTTACATATTCATTATAGCTGTCAGTTATGCTGCCATCGTGGCTGGAGGAGGGGGAGGTGGTTGATTTGTGTCCTCTTTCAGGTCTGGTATGTGTGGTTGTGTATGGCTGTTTGACCTTGGTGTCTGCTGCACTGCTTTCTCTTGGAATGTGAACCCGTTAGTTTTAGGTGCGCAAAGGCCTCTTCCCTGATTGAACCAGGTATTACTGACCCTTTCCGCTTTTTGAATTAGTTCTGACACTGAAAGTGTATGGATGACTTGCCTATACTGGAACAATAAACTGAAACTTCATTGAAAGCCTGTTGTTTCCTGATTGCTGCAAGACTCTGACAATAGCAGATCCACTCTGGAAAAGTTCCTCCTAATGTTGGGATGACACACAATTGGGCCAAAGAGGTGCACCCTATAGACTGCCACTCCTGCAAGTACAGCCCGTAATGTTTTGGTCTGCAGCTCTCCTGATGCCAAACTGCAAGATTCTTGCCATGTATCAAGTTTGCAATATGTTTGCAGATACCCCTATTTACTATACTATTCATGCTGTAAAACTTTCCTGGTAAAAACCACCTCAAACCGGAGAGATGGTATATAAGTTTTATAATTAATAAAAATACTAAAAATAAAACCAGTAGAACCAATTGTAGTAATGGTCAAGTGATTTTCTGAAAAACATTTGGTTTAAATGATTTTGATGCAGTTAAATTTGTTTACAATAATAATCTATACTAACACTATGCTTTTTTCAAAAGTAGGCAAAGAAATGCTCTGTTCAACCACTGCAAGTCACATGTGTCTTAATGTGTCTCCTTACCACCAGCTGCGTAGGATTTCTTCTCTTCTGCATCATCTGTGATTTCATACATATCACTATGTGCTCGTGCTAGCCGCCAAAGGAACTCCTCTTTGCCACTATACTGTGAATAAAATAAATATTTCAGTTCATCTGTTTACTAAATGTTGCATTTGTAACTCTCACTTTTCTGTAAGCTTGAATGATGGAGAGACAAACACTGCATAACTTTAAATTAAAACTTGGATAATTTAATTATTATGCCTTGTGATGTGAAACGGATGACTGACAAGTTTTCTCAGCAGTTTGCTCAAATGCTTTCCCTTGCCTAAATTATTTAAGTGCAATAATTCTTACTCTTTTAAACAAAGGTACCATATAAACCAAGTCAAACACTTATGTGAAATACCGGAAATGAGTAGCACCTTTCCTAGAACAAGCCTTTGGTTAAATATTACCCTACTGATAATTTTATAAAACATTCCCTACTTTCTCCACTCCAGCAGAGAAGCTTTTAGGATGGGCACAACCACCTCAACAATGCGATGTCACATCTGGTTTGCTTTACAAGCAGAAGTAAATGTCATACTTGAGCAGAACAGCCTATAGTGAGTATGCCAGCAATGGGATACTCACTATAGTATCAGCATCATGCACAGCAGAGAGAGAGGAGCATGGCAGAGATGAGATGGCAGACTACTGATTTATGTGACTGTACAAAGGCATTCGGTCATCATAGAGCCCAATAAAATTCATACAATTCTACGGAAAACGATTTTTAAAGCATAAATGGTCGCAGATAGTAGATTGCACCAAACATAGTCCCAGTACATTATTATCTCTTTAACAGAGAAACATTCATTTAAATAATTTGCTTTACTTCCTCCAGAAAGAGAGCTCCTCAGAAAGAGTTCCTCAGCAGATCTATCTCCTGCAACAGATTATCTATACTACACTGTTACATGTCTAATATTTGAAAAAGCATTCCACAGAAAGTAAGTTAGCACATGAGTTTTAAACACAGGAGTGTTCCTAACTCTAGCTTTAAGTGTTTGTTAAATCTCTAAGTGGCTAGATTTGTACAAAAGCAATCTGTGATTTAACTTTTTAACGATATTATTTACTGCAATGTTCAATGTTGCAATAGACTAACAACATTCAGGAGTGTTAAAATAGGCCACATCTCATGAGTTTGAGGGTTTGCATTTTCTAAAGAGGATATAAAACTATGCTGCCAATTAGATACTTGGCCTCATGTACAATTGTGGTGTGGATGAGGTCTTGCACAATATCCTTTTTTGCCCTCCCTTGTCGGTTAGCTTGGAATCAGATTTTCTGGGAACTGCTACAGTGAACTTTACCACTAGTTTATTGTTAAGCAACAGTTGGAATCCTTCTTTCTTCTCTTGGTCACTCCCACTGTGCAACTGGTCCGCTTGCTGCAGCAACTGGCCAAGTTCTTCCTCTGCAGCAGAGTCAAAGGTCAATGTTGCTTCGTCCTCATTGACAAGGTCCAGGGAATCCCTCCTTGCAGTCCTCACTGTATCACAACTATTTTCATCTTCTTCACTCTCTTTATCAGACTCCCGGTCATAATCAGACTCCGCATTGGCTGTGGTATAGCTTTAACACAGAAAGGGGCACAGTATTTATGTTAATATGACAGTGTTCACTTAGAATAACATTAAAAGCAAAATACCTTTCACCTACTCTAAAAAGAGAAGAATGCTAATAAAGCAAGCAAATATTCTAAACTTCTGCCACTGTAAGCGTTTTCCTAAACCAGAATGAGTTACAGTATACAACACAGCACAAAAGGCTAATGGGATTTTGCCTCTGACTCCAGACTGGAACTGACAAAGGCAAATTTTGGATCTGAACCCCTCTCTATCTTGGAAGCATTATGGGTGACCTTGGGCTACACACTCTCTCTCAGCCTAACCTATGCCACAGAGTTGCAGTTGTGATGATAACATGGAAGGGTGGGGGTTGATGTTATAAGTTGCTTTGGGTCCCCATCAATACTCCCTCTAAGCTGTGGAGTTGTGTGAGCAAAAATTCTACTTTGTGAGCTACTGGCACTAAAACTGTGAGTGAGTGATTTGGCTACTGCATAAATTAGTTTGCTCTGAAGCCATCCTTGCTGAGCTAAGACAAAAATGTGTGAGCCAGAGGATAAAAAACTGTAAGCTAGCTCACACTAACTCATCTTAGAGGGAACACTGGTCCCTATTGTTTATGAGGCACACATGTACAAAGTCAAGTTGTAAGTTACAAGATGTACTTTAAAAGGAAATATAAATACTAGTACACTGGGAACAACAAGAAAGCAAACTGACAAACTTGGTATGTCCATCTCAGACAGGAACATATTCACATTCAAATTTGAAATAGATGCTTTGCTGGCTCTGATAATGTAATCTGGCTGTTCCCATGTCAAAATCAAAACTCTTCACATTCTGTATAAATTTAACATTCTCAGATGTGAAAGAATTTAGTTGCTGACTGTCCACAGTCACTATGAGAGGTTAATTTACTGAACTTTAAGGTAAGTGCAACGGAAAGAACAGACAAGGGTTGTCTGGCTAGCTTACAGCAGACAGACACATCACCAATGAGTTTAAAAGATTAATGTGTATAGGATATGTATTAGAAATTTAAGTCTATTCCAGACATACACTCAATAATTTCCTTAGCATAAACTGACTAGTGCTCCCATAGGAGCGTCTGGGCAATAAATATGAAATGTCTGTGTACATGCCAAGACTGGGAAAAAGGATAAAAGCCAGCAGATAAGTGATTGTAGCCATTCTGCTTGCTTAAAAGGTATACATGTACAAAGCCAAGTTGCAAAACACTAGTTGTACTTTAAAAAGATCTATCTTGAGAGACTGCAATAGGAGCTAATAAATCAAGACAAGATAAAATCCAGACTAAGCAGTCCCTTGAGATACTGAGAACAGAGAACTTGGAAGAAGAAGGGCCAAAAATAAAAGTATATTTACCAACTAATGGATAACCAACTGATATACTGGTCCCAATAAGTAAGGAGTGAAGTCTGACTACCGGACTCCAGCTGCCTGACTTCTTACTATGTGAAAATGGAAGGGGGGTGCAAGTAAGCACAGCAGCGCAGGCACAACTTGTGCCGCATTCCCAACACTCAGAGTCTGAAATGAACCTGTTGTCTTGGATTTGGGAAACTTTATAGACTTAAATAGAAAGGGAAAACTGTTTCCAAATCAAATACACCAAAATTTATACAAAGGAATGTGGTTTTTTTCACCCGTTCATCTTACACAGTGTAACCTCTGTGCTTATAGCCATCGGCCAACTCTATCACATTAGGTTTCATTCCTGTTTGCCGTGGGCCACTTTATGGGTCTGAGGGAGAAATCTGGGACTTTGTACTCACTGCAGGATAAGCATTACAAAACAACTCTAATTCACTTGCTGTCAGAAGCTATTATAACTGGAAAGAATGGGTTACTTAAATCCTAATTTTAAAAGTCTGTTTACTTCATTTATAGCCTGCCTTTCTCACTGAGACTTGAACCAAGAGGAAAGGCAGGATATAAATGTTTTAATAAATTTAATAAATGAGACTCAAGGTGAATGATTGCCCCCAAAGATGTACTGATCACACCCTGTGGGGCTGCACAGTCTTCAATAAGAATCACCAGGTTAGAGTAATGGATTAGAGTCTGGGAGATCCAGGTTAAAAGTTCCTACTCTCTCCTATAAGCTCAATGGGTGACCTTGGGCCAGTCCCTCTCTCAACCTGAACTACCTTAACCTACTTGGTATGATGATGAAGTGGAGAAGAGATCCACTTAGACTGCACTGAACCCCTTGGAAGAAAGGTGAGATATAAATGTACTAGACAGAAAATGTACAGCATCATTGCACAAGTGAGGCTCTCCAATGAACTGAACTCTTACAGCAAAAGGAAACCAAATAAAACCGAAGATTCTGAATAGATTATGATAACAAGTTCTTGAAACAGTAATGGAAACTTTTATGTTAAAGAAGCCTCTTTGTGAAGTAGCTTCACTCTTCTGCTTGTAAAAATGAATCTTTTAAAAGTAAGGTAACAAAAACTTGTCTTCATTAAAAATTACACTTGTAGTAGATCATTCACTATTTCGATACAAGACTCACCCCATAGTTTTGATATAGCCTTAATTTTTTCTGCTTCTTTTAAATGTCTGGGTGATTGATCAGAGCGCTTTACATTTAAAAACTTGTTTTAATTCATATGCTTTGAGCTGTATTGAGCCCTGACCTAAATGGCCCAGGCTAGCCTGATTTTGTCACATCTCTGAAGCTAAGCAGAGTCGCCCATGCTTAATATTTGAATGGGAGATCACCAAGGAATACCAGGGTCACTACGCAGAGTCAGGCAATGGCAAACCACCCCTGAAACCTCTTGCCTTGAAAACCCTATGGGGTTGCCATAAGTGGGTTGTAACTTGACAGCAAAAACAAAAAAGGTTAAAAAGCTGTATTGATTCTTTCAACAAAAGTGACTTGTGTTTTGTAAATTAAAATAGAATTCAAAACAGACTAGTTACTTAATGGATTCTGTTATGTGCAGTCTCAACTGGTCCAATTCATTTCCCCCCACTTATTGTCTCAAGCTACACCCTCCTGCTAACTTGCTAGAAAAATAACGATGCATGTTCACCTATGAAACACTTCTTCCAATCTTCCTTCACATCAGTGAACTTGATTCTTAATGGTATTAAAACTTGGTGTTTCAAGTGACATTTTCAAGCACTAAGGCCCATTATTCAAAGTCACAGAACTATTTTATCAGTTTGAACTAAGGGAATACAATTATGGATATTTTAGTCAGATGAAAACTGCTATAATTTGGGAGCAGAATCTCCTCAAAAGGGAAAAAAATGAACTCAGCAAAATCAAAGACAAGCAATACAAAATATCATACACACCAAAATTCAGCTGAGGCCACATATTCACAGAAGCAGGCTTCCATACACATATCCTTAGCAGAAAGGAGAATCACACATGCACATGGCTGCTGAATACATAATCTGCCAGTTCAATCTAACCACCTACGCAGAAGTAAGAAGCTATTCTATTTCTTAAAAACAACTTCTACCATTTTACATGGGAAGTAATAAGAGTTATCACACAAAGATGCAATCTATCTATCATCATTCAGTTTCAATTGAGTTTTTATAAGCTATTTTAATCCTAGGATTGGATGTTTTTCTATGTGGAAAAAAATGCATAACACAAGACATTCCTCTCTATGAACCACCTGCATAACAGGATCCAAAGCATATTAAGCCAAGCCAGGTGCCAGACCTGGAGGGCACCTGAGATGACTGGAGAATCTCATGCACAACCCACAAGCAAGTGGTTTCTGTTTTCCCCCAGAGCCTTATATAGACTTTCTCTCACCCACAGTTGCAAGAAATAGCTGTTGTATTTGTATATATACCTCCAGAACAGTTACACTCCAGTTCATATTACAGCTGCAAATTGTGTCTGATAATCTTAACAGAAAGATAACCGAGAAATAGCAGAACTTGAAAAAATTGACGGCTATACTATTGTCTTGAGAAGCAAAGGCTGGTGTTTTCTCCTAAATTTTCCTACAAGAAAGACTGGCACAGAATACAAGTTAGAGGTTTTACTACTCTCTTGTGCAGCCAATTGGTGTCAGTGTCTAAAGAGCCTCCTAATAAATCCTACTCAAACACTCTAAACAATGTATTTTAAGCAGGGATAACCTTGAAAAGCTAGTACTTCAAGCTACTGATTGCTTACCCTCCTTCACTTTCACCATCATCTGTATTCACTGTGCCAGAACTGGCTGTGAAATATATGGAACTGGATCCCGCAGAATCACTCCTTTCTCTGGGAAATGCAAAGCGCTTCCTCCGAACAGCCTTCTGGCTATCTTCTAGATGAGACCTGCAAGATAAGATTAGCATGTTAAGAGGCATGCCCCATCTCCTCCCTTTTTACAGTTTCTTGACAAATGCTTTAATTGTCTACCTTACAAGCTACCAAAATGGTCATTCCATTCAGGTCAGTGTAATGAAAAAGAATCCTACTCCCTTTACCAATCAATTGGCCAGTCAACTGACTACCCACTTGGCAGTATTCCATGAAACCAGAAATGTTTCTGATAGGTGGCATCTTACCTTTTTGTTTGTTTTTTAATTATAGTGTCATTTATTAGCAAAGAATGAATGGAGGACTGCTTGCCTACTAATGTTGCAGCAGCTGGGGTAGACCAAGCACGATAGCAAAGCTCCTCCTACAGCCCACCTGCTATAATTGCAGGCATCTCCAATCAGGAAAATGTTGCCTGTTTCATTTCTTTCTATCCCCTTTTTGTTCATGAACACAAAGTCTTGAACAACCACTGTTGACTGCTGTCTTCTAAACACAATTGCCTTTTCCAAAAGGCTTATTTTTTAACAGCCACTGTTACTTTGCCTCACTTCAGTTTTAATTACAGGGTGTTTTTCCCCTTTAAAGTGAAACTATGTTGATTCTGATGTTCCAAAGTAATAGCCAAAGAGCAGAATTGTTCAATGAATAATTTATATCGATAGAAACCTAAGACTGTTCAAAGTTATAATATTTATTCAGCCTGCCTTTTTTGCTGAGACTCAAAACTGATTATATGGTATAAGACAATGCGATCAAGTAGTGTGAGACATTCCATAAACAATGCAATAGGACGAAGATCACAAAAATTAGAATCAAGGCCAAAAAAAGTATCAGATATGGAATTACAAAAATAGAAAACAATGCAGTAAAAGCAAAATAATACATACAGTACAATAAACGAGTCTTTCCCCCTCCCATGATACTACACCCTTATTCCTTTTATGGAAATCCCCTTCTGAACAATTCTGTTTATAGCCTGTGAAATGAAAGAAGTACGGGAACCTTCCTAACCTCCTCAGGCATGCTATTCTACAAAGTGGGAGCCACAGTAGAGAAAGCATGTGCACGGGCAGCTGTTGATTTTACCCATTTGCAAGATGGCACATTTAAGAAGGCTTAGCTCAGATTCATGCTTATGGAAATTTGTTTCTACATACAGAAAATATCAGCTTTGGTCATTCTGTATTGTTTTCCTCTAAGACAAGCAAATTTCCATTTATGTTTATAACAGCCTGTGGATTTACATTAAACATTGGTTAGAATATGAAAATAAACCATTTTTTAACAATGTAACTGATTGCATGGTCCAGAGGTGTTGGACTTACCTGAAGGTTTCTTCTCTTCAGTGGGGCAAAGTCATCCAAACTGGTTAGGTCACGCCTCCTCTCGCTCCAGGCAGGGCTATGCAAATTTTTGTATGCCTTTCCTAGGACACAGCAAGGCTGCCCTTCCAGATATCAAATAGCCCAGCTCCAAATTATTGTCCATACTAATGCATTTCTTTATTTTTATTATTTTTGTGATGGGAAAATTGGATAACTTCACTACACTGAAGAGAAGAAACCTGGAAGTCCAATGATTTATTCTATTTCAGTGAGGGAAGTCATCCAAACTAGTTATGTAACCAAGCTAAGACAAAGTGGGAGATATACAGCCTCCTGTTAGTCCAACACCTGCTGGAGAACTCTCCTTCCAAATGCAGCCTCCATAGAGTCCAGCTGATGAATCCTATAGTGCCTTACAAACGTCAAGAAAGATGTCCATGTTGCTGCCCTACAAATCTCCTCTACTGGAGGCTCTGGTAGAGAATACAGCTGACGTTACCACTGCCCTAGTGGAATGAGCAGTAATTCCTGTAGGCACTCTTGAGTCCCAGAATTTCATATGCCTTGCAGATGTAAAGCCTAATCCAGTGCACAATAGTAGACTTGGAGACCTTTCTGCCCAGGTTCATCATACCGTGTGACACACAAAGCGCATCTGATAATATGAAAGGTGCAGTTCTATTTATGTATATACGAAGGGCCCTGCACACAACCACCTTGTGCCACATCTTTTCTTTTGGATGCAAAGGACTGGGGCAGAAAGATGGAAGGACCAGTTGCTGATTCAAATGATAAAAGACCATTCTCCCTAGTGTATATCTTTGTGACTCAGCCAGTCTGCTTGTTCAAGAGACCCTGTATGTGCTGGGCCTTCAAACCCTTGAGGTGTAACTCCACCCACCTAAAAAGCTGTACTGCCTCCTAGTAAAGGGGGGCCACCTTGGTGCCCCCTTAGCGGTTGATATGAGCTTTTGCCGTTATGTTGTCTGCCTTTACCAGGACGTATTTGTGCTGGATCTATTTGCAAAAAGAGGCCAGGGCTACCTTTATCACCCTTTGTTCTAGCCAATTTATACTGCTTAGTTTTTCCCCTTAGTGACCATTCTCCCTGAACTACCTGGTTCACGCAATGTGTCCCCTCAACCCCTCATGCTGGCATCTGTAGCCACTAGGATGTGGGGTGGCTGCAGAAAACCAACTCCCCTCTTCAGGTTTTCCTTCAAGGCCCACCATTTCAGAGACTTCTTTAAAGATGAAGTCAGAAGGATGCTCTTGTGACGTTTTCTGCTGATAAAGAGTCCACTGCAAAGGTCTCATGTGAAATCATGCCCAAGTGACCAGGTCTATGGTTGCTATCAGGAAACCCAGCAGTTGCAATAGGAGCATGAGAGCCACACATTTTTTTTTGGCCCCCCGAAGGGGATTTTTTAATTACATTTTATATATGGACTACAAATTACAATGAAAAAAGGGGAGGGAGACTACATTAAGGGAGAAGGAAAAGATAACCATTACTACTTAAAAACCCTCTTAAAACGCTACATTTTATGAACTTAATCAGACATGCTTTTATAACTTTTAAGTCTTAAATTTAACTGTTGGAAAAAGACCCCTCAGCATCTCAATGTTAAAAACAATATTATCAAAAAGCACAATTCAGAGTCCTTCAACCCTCATTTTTTCTTATCTTGTCTCTTCCGTAGTTTATAAGGACTTTTAGGAGCCGCTGCCCCCTTCTCAGACAGAGAGTCCTCTCCAGAAGACCCCGAGTCCAGCTCACCACTGGACTTACTGTCCTTTTCCTCTTTGTCCACCACCTCCGGCTCACCCAGCTGGATTCTCAAAAAGTCCCATGCTTTGGAAACAGAGTCAATCTTTTCTTTTTTATCCTGAAGTTTGAAGGTTACGCCCTCTGGATACAACCACCGGTAGCTGATTGCATTTGTTTGAAGAAAAAGAATTAAATCTTTGTATTTATTTCTCCGTTGTCTTATTTCAAATGGGATATCTTTCAAAATCCGAACAGTACTGTCCCCAATTTTCATAGGTGTCCCCGCTGTCGCTTTTAGGATACAATCCCTCAGGTGTCTCTGAGAATCTCATTACAATTTCCCCAGGCAGATTATTCTTCTTTATGTATATGGAGTAGGACCTATAGACCACATCCATTTCGCTCATAAGATAGTCCGCCTTCAAATCTGTCACTGGGGCCAATGCTTCACTCATCATTTGCTTCAGATTCTCTCCTTTAGTCTCTGGGACACCTTGGAAACTAAGGACCAGGTTTGCCTTCTCCATTTGTAATTGTAAAAGCTGTTCTTCTGTTGAAACTTGCTTTCCCCCTCAATTTTTGTACCTTTTTCTTCACCTTTTGAGCAGTGGCGTCAACCTCTTTCACTTTCTCAGCTGTTTGTTTCGTGATTTTTAAAGTTTCGTTGAGTTGTGTTTGCTGAATAGTAATACATTGGTTCATTTTCGACACCTGCTCCTTGAGGTTAGTCATCTGCTCCAGCAGGGGGCGCAGGGACTCTGCCATCGTTTTAGCCAACTCAGTGGTTCCTTCCTTTCGTGCACTCTCAGCTGGTTTCGTTTTTAAAAGTTTCTCCTTCTCCGTCCTTTTCCCCACCATCTTTATCAATTGTTTACGTTCGCCAAAAATTTTAGTTAAAGTCTCTGAATATGCGCTCGTACACGCCTTGGTAAGTCTTTCCAACAGTTTTCACCACTTTTACTTCCGCTCCCCCCGATCTTGCTTGTGAGTTTGTGCACATGGGAGGGGCCCCTCCCCTGCTCGCTTTACTCTCTAGTTCGTAGGGTGGGGGAGCTTTCTTTTTAACTTAGCAAAACCGCTCTAATCCGACTCACATTCATATTCGGTCATCCGACCTCGCTTTGCGTCCGTTTTTAGTCGCTCGATCTCCAGCGCTTCTCCCGGTCAGCGTCACTAGTTCCATGCGGACACTCAGCAGAAGGACCATGGGGATGGAGAAGCGCCTCAATTCCCCAGCATCGCGCTGGTGAAGAGGCGACCTCTCAGAAGTCCCTTGGCCAGGAGCCTTTCGCCAGGCTCCTTGGTGCGATGCATTGCCCCCATCCTTTCTGCTGGTGCGCAGCTTCACACACACACCCCCCCCCGGAGGTCCTGGAGGTGCGACTGCTCAGTGCGCTGCCATAAACTGGAAGTCATAGCCACACACTTTTGTTTGCCGATTCTGTTTATAGCCTTTATTTTTGACTGTTTTTCAGTTGGAAGAAAAACTTTGGCCTGGTAAGTATCTATCTTGGCCCCCAAGTGAATCAGGTTTCTGGAAATTTATCAGGAACCCATGTTCCTGTAGTAGCTGCAGGTCCTGGGTCCTGATCACGACATTGTCTAAGTACAGGCACGTGTGAATCCCTTTTGGCTCAAGGCAGCTATTAGGGTTACTATACTCTTGGTGAAGATCCATGGAGATGAGGACAGGCCGAATGGTAGGGCTTTGTATTGGTAATATTGCTCTTTGAAAGAAATCTGCGGGTACTGCCTGGAAAACGGATGTATAAGAGAGATGTAAAAGTGATTGCACTGCTTGGGAACAGTGATCATAATGTTGTTGAGTTCAACATTTGTATAAATAGGGAATTGGCCAAAAAGACTCACGCAACCACTTTTAACTTTAAAAGGGGTAATTTCTCTGATATGAGGGG